GTGAGAGAGAGCGAGGTTGATCGCTGAAGAAGGAAAGACTCACCTAACTCCTCTGCATCTACGGCCAACGTCCTTATTGTTATCGTCGTGCGGTTGATCCGGAGGAGAAGGTGTGTCCGATGGTCGATCCTGATCGTGTGTGGCATGGGTTTTTAATCGTGTGCGGGGTGGCATGGTGGGTTGGTGTAGCTCGGTCGACCTGGGGTGGATGGTGGTGTGTGGGTTGGATACAGTTGGTGCCTGGTACCACTGATATCCGACCCTATGCCCTGGGACTGGATGGGTACCTGTTCATTGGGTGGCTTAATACAGGTGGCTTGAGGCGGTACCCGCAAGGGTACCCGGGTACCGGGTCTGATTTTGGCCAAAAACAGACACCAAGTACCGCACCCGGGGCCTGTTGCCGGGTACCGGAGGATTGAAGGCGGTACCCGCCAACGGGTCCCGGGTACCGCCCAACGGGTACCGCAAGGCCATCTTTAATTTCACGCTTCTACTAGCTGTTTCTTATACATATGTGATTGGTTTATGGATTATAAAATATGTACAGTGGGTTGACAGAAACATACATATCCCTACTTATTTATTTTTGGGGGTCATGATTATTCTTCTTGGAAGGTTTTTCTAGGGGAAGTGGGAGAACGGGGGTCAGGAAAAATGATGAAAGGGTCAAAAACCTTCATTGCAGCACAAAAAAAGATTTAAAAAAAACACAAAATCATCATTTTTTTCAATATCGGTGGGAATAATGAGGGATAAATTGGAGGTAGACTTGAGAGCTTGGGGATAATGATGAAGAAAGAAAAAATGGAAAAGATAATAAGTAACATTTTTTTTTCTTGGAGGATTGTCGACGACTGGTTTGAATCAAAGTTTGAGTCGCTCAGCAGTTGTCGATTACAGACCTGCGCTTGAGTATGATGTTTGAGTGACTGTTTGATTGTTTCATTATCCAGATAGGTTGCTTGTAAGGTGATGTTGGCAGGGAAGTGGCTGGTCAACTGATGATCATCAATGATCAGTGGTCAAGAGGCTAGCTTGTACCTGAGTGTCACAGTAGGGTGTCACCAAACTTGAGCCTGGTGTGCAGGGGTACAGATTTTCCTCTCTGAGAGGTGTACAGTGTGGACATTATTCCTGTGTATGAAGGAAGAAAATTCAAAGTTTTATTATTTATAAATGAAGGAATAAAGATATAGAAAAATGAACTTCAGAAATGGAATCTACAGCCAATTTAACCCCTAGTCACTCACTGGAACCACCTTCATATCTCTACTGGATCAGAAGTTACACAGATCAAGGATGTCACACGGGGAATCACAGGGCCAGAGGTACTCAGTTGAAGGGTATATTGCATAATGCATATGTAATTCCTTTGTTGCACAATGAATTCCTTTTATTCTTACAGAACCACAAGTTGGCCACCAGTTGTACCTGTTCAATTCCCATTTATTCAGCCACCTCACAGATGAATTCCTTTCTTACAGCTTACATGTAAAAGGAATGTGTTGTAGATAGTCTAGCCAAAATCCCTCAGTATCTTCAGGGACAGGCCAGATAAAATGCCTTGCGCAGGGGGTCCCTTGGGGATAACCTGTCACAGATTACACATATTTATTACACGAGTGGTTTCACACATAGTACAGTTCACAGTTGAAATATATACACAGTTCGGTTTCAAAAACATTACACAGAAGACCCAGTCCTTTTTTCCAGTCCTGGTTGAAGCAAAGTGCTCCCAGTCCCCTTGGGTCCAAGAACCATCTCTATCGGATTTGACAAGCAACAACATCAACAACTCAACAAATTCTTTGGACAGCAATATCAATACTCAAAAATTATACATTAATCTGTGAATATAATCTTTATCATTAACCAAACTGCCATGCTTACCTTGGTGGTCTTGTTTTCTGATAATATAGAAAGGCAGAGTTTGCAGCTCATTCATCCCTTTCTCCATTCAGCAAAAAGGATCTTACAATCACTTTTTGAGTCTTACAATGGTTTGTGTTGGTGGGTGGCAGCCAAAGGGCTATGATACCCTGTATCTGGATCTCCTGTGTCATAGGTTCAGATACCATAACATTTTTGGCTTCCATGGTATGTTGCACTGAGATCAGAATCTGCCCATGGGCAGATTCTGATCTTGCAAACTTGAGATTCAAGCCACAAGCTCAAGAAAATAGTCTTGAGGAGGAAAAACAAGGTTGAAGTACCTCAAAAGAGGCTTAAGCTGCTAGCTTGTGTGGAGGAAAAGTGCTCATACTGCAAAAGTGGTTGTATTTCTTCAAGACCACAGGGAAATGTGCGCAGAAAGCAGATGATTTTCATTTCAAGCTCAGAACTGTGTTTATCTACTAAAACTATGATGGGGCCAGATTGTGGGACAGAAGAGAAAATGAATATGCAATGAGGAGCTGGGAAAGGGAAAGGAAAGGAGTGACATGTGTTCTGAGTGACAGGGAGAAGGAAGAGAGAGACCAGTGATGTGAAGTTTCAACACAAAATATGTGTTATTGTAGCATGTTGTAAGGACCCATCATTGATAAGAAGCAAAGAATTTGTGCCTTGCATCATAGGGCCACTGTATTGTATGAATCCAAACTATGCTGATGAATCCACCAGTTTTCACTTTGGCAGACTAGTGGCCCCCTTGATGCTGCTGTGGAGAACATGGGTGAGGGGGGGCTGAAGTTGTGTGTAATCTGTTAAAAAATTGCAGTCAATTATAAGCAAAGCATTGAAGTCAGACAGGAATGAGATATGAGAACTATAGTTTGAGTGATACACAATACCACTTATTAGTGGGGTTCACAATAGGGGTTTTCACTTCTCACACCCACTTTTTTTTCTTGCTTGCGCATTGCTGATGTCAATTTTTTTCAGAAAAAATTTGAAGCTCTGTGCTAAATTTGGAGTCTGCAACAGTGCTGTGGTTTCTTGCACAAGAAGAAATTGCTTCTTGTGAGAAGCTATCATGAACCCCCCCCCCCCATTCAAAGCCTCCTGCACTGAATGTGTATAAGCATTTTAATAGATTGTGCATGACTTCACAGGCAAATCTAACTGAAAAGAATGCATCAGTATGCAATAGGTTCAAGTAGGGCAGTTAAAGATCAAAATATGAGACCTTCCCATAACCCAATAAGTGACGGTTTTGTAGAGTCAGTCGTTTGGGAGGGTTTCTCTCTCAGCCAATAAGTTTATGGGCTGCCTTATTTGAACTTGGACTGCCCCAATAAAGGAGTTGCTTTGCCAGCTATGCCAACCATAGTGTTTGAGTGAAACTTCTAACACTCTATATTTTTCCATTACATGCCAGTGGCATGGCATTAACACCAATACACCACGGGTTCTGGTGGATGAGTGCTTGACGGAAGCGGTTCCGTCAGCTTGACCCATGCCGCTCTGACCAAAATTTTGGGGTGCTTCATAGCGGGGGGCGTAATACCCCGCGGTTGGCTTGACCCTTCAACGTTGGCTTGCCAGCGGTTGACTGGCAAGCTTGCGGCGGCTTGACAGCATTTTTTGATCATGACAGTGGCTGCCCAGCAGCGTGCTGCAGAACAAAAAAAATCAGCTTGGGGCTTGGCGCTGCAGAAAAAAAAATCAGCTTGGGGCTTGAACACCCAACCTAGGCTCACAGCACCTTAAGCTCACTGTGTGGTTGCATGCTGATAACTGAAGAGCTTATCCAACTACACAACGCGCAATCAGCTCACAAAATCAAAGTTTCGTAGCGCACACAAAATACGGATGCATCACCTGACAGATTTCGTCATCTGTTTTTTTAACTTCTTGGACTGTTTTTTTTTCGTTGGCTGTTTTTGTTTTCGTTGACTAAATTTAGTTTTGTGGGCTGTTTTTTCCGTTGGCCATTTTTTTTGCTTGCCATTTTTTTCATGAGCTGTTTTTTTGTTGGCTGTTTTCTGCCAATCATCAAAACTAATTTCGCCATCAAAACTCATCTCACTCTTCTTGACCTTGCAGCTTCTGGGGACCAGGTTCGTAACACACAGCTTTGCCGTTTCCTAGAAAAATTGCCTCTGGACTAGACAATGTCAGAAAAATCATTTTAAAACAACCACAGTCAGAAGAGCCCTGCTCTCAGTCTAGAATAGTCGCGATAGCTCTACTCTTTCATTTGATGTAAACCAATAATGAGCAAGTCAATGTTCATGTTTTTCAAATCATCCGGTTGCTAATGGTGAATGAATCCCGTCATTTCTCATTATTGAATCATGAAACTATCTCATTAACAAAATTCATGGCTGACCTCAGAAGCACCTATGAAGATGTCCCAAGGCCTATTCGTGGGATTCAAGTCAAAGGTAGGGATCCGAAAAATGGGCCTGATGAAAAGCTATATGGACCAGCTTTTACGCATGATGAATTGGGAGCAATCCAGCTACAATAAAGATCTTCTCCAAAACCCATTGTATACACATATCATGTTGTGCGCGTTTGAGTGTCTTTGAATTTACCCACTATTGACTATTGACCTCAATGCGACCTTTTTCATGGCTAACGCAATGCTATCAGTATCTCACATCACTGTTTTTGTTGCAGTTTCATCCCATACATATCATGTATTATAAAACTGCTCATCTTTAATTTCAACTTAGCCATCTTCCCCTCGAGGAACTAGAAGATTGTGAAATCAACCCCCATTTTTGGATTTGGAAATAAGTGATTTAACCAAGTCAATCATAAGTGGTAATGTATCAAAATCGGTAGGCACTGTTTTGTTCTAGTGTCAGGATTCACAGTCAATCATCATATGACGCTGCATGGTTTTTGTTCTGTTGGGGGATGGGTTTGCCAGTGGAGCAATCTTTAAATTTTTAGCAATAGTGGGAGTGACTGTTTGAGCCTTCAGGGTGCAGGACCCAGTTTGTTTGTATGTACATAGGGAGGTTTGATCTCAATGGGTCAGCTTGAGTGACTGTGAGGGTTCCAGTCCGAGTGGCGTTTGTGTCTTCTCACTCTCAACCACCACCATGACCAGCTCGGCTCAACTTCATTCTTCGCTCTCCCTCTGCCTTCGCCGTTGTTTCTCGGTGTCAACCACATTGGCAAGCAGCTCATCTGCAACATCCGTCCCCGCGCACCCTCCCAGGCCGGTGATCAATTATAACCGGATTATGTCGAACAGGAATGCGTGTGCAAAGAATCTGGTTGACCGGAAGTCACATCTGACGCCGGACGCGATTGAGGACGTGGCTAGAGATGGGCCCGGCGCATCCGGATATCCGTTCGGATTCAGATATCCCCTCACGTTTTCAGCCAAATCAGACATCCGCATCCCCTGGCGGATACCCGCTGGCCCTGGCGGGTATCCGCGCGGATACCCGCGGATATCCGCCCCAAAAATGACCCCCAGGCTGCAAAATGAAAGTTTCTTGGGGAAATTTCAGATGCAGAAAGCTGCATAAACACTGATTTTGAATTTCTTGCGGCCTTCAAGCCTTCAATTCATTTTTATTTTTTCTTTTTTTTTTCCTTTGCTGCTTGCAGCCTGTGACCCTCCAAAAAATATGGAAAATGGAAAAAATTATATTTCTTTTTGCTTTTGAATTTTTTTTGTTGAGCAGTTGGCAAAGTGGTTTTAAGTTTTTGTTTTTTATTTATTTATTTATTTTATTTTTTATTTTTTATTATTATTTTTTTTTTTTCCTTTTGTTGCTCACAGCCTGTGACCCTCCCAAAAATATGGAAAAAATATAATTCCTTTTTACTTTGCAATTTTTTTTTGTTTCTTGCAGCTAACTCATGTAAATTTTTACGGGATTAAATTTCATTATTTTTTGAAAATGGATGGTTATATCAACTTTGCATACAAATAAAATTGGTATACGGTACAAATTATCATAATTTGTATAATTTAATTATGCAATAAATGGGGTACCCTCATATATTAAGATTGAAGCTTTCATTTCTCGTCAAAATAAATGATACCATAAGCTTTGACACTACTCAAAGTGTAGTAAATAAATTCAAAATTTCAAAAAATGATGGAAATTAAGCTAGAAAAATTAATTCAAATAAATTAAGGGAAAAAATTTACAATGTCAAAGAATAATGAAAATTAATTATTAATCTGTCAAAAATTAATTGAAAAAATGTGTCTAATTGCATTATTCAAAAAGAACCATTAATTTTTATGTAAAATGCTTTTTACCATTAAATTCTACGCACTTTAAAACATAAGAAATAAATTTAAAATTTCAAAAAATAATAAAAAACAAGCAGTAAAAATTAATTAAAAAATGTGTCTGCTGCGCAGTGCGCGCAGCAAAAACCATGTTTTTTTGTTAAGGCCCCATTTTTTCTTTTATTTTTCCTTTTTTCCATTTTTTCTTTTGTTTCTCACAGCCTGTGGCCCTCCCAAGGCCTCCTGTATGGGCGGATATCCCTTGGGATACCCGGATATCCGCCAGGATTCCAGGGGGAAGGGGGCATCCGCACCTGAATCCGCACCCGCTGGCGGGTATCCGTTGGCACTGGCGGGTATCCGCCAGCGGATAACGGATATCCGCAACGGATTATCCGCGACCATCTCTAGACGTGGCTTATCTCTACTCAGAATATAAGAACCTATCCAAGAAGTTGGTTGAAGCCAAACAGCGCCAGAACTTGCTTGGAAACAAGATCATGGAGGCCATATAGTCTGAAAATTCAAGAGAACGATAACACATGTAATGTAACTTGTGGATCTTGAGATAAGTTCTGTGAAATCTTGTACTATCTAGAAGCTTGAAAAAGAATATGGACGAGAACATCAAAAAGAACATTACACATCAAGGTGGTAATAAATTTGGATCCACTACTCTTGGATCATGTTGGATGGGCCGTATAAGTACCATTGGGTTCCTGTATCCAAATGTCCAAGCAGCCAAGTTTCGGTAGGCACAAACATTTGTTATATCTTGAGGCCTGACCACAGCAAAATGATTTGAATTGATTGCTAGCACCAGTTGCATGTCATTCAAAAATCCAAGAAAGGTAGCTGATGGGTTCATTCCATCCATCTTCAATCCACAACCCATTTTCTTCAGTAGAACAAAATCATGTCCCCCTGTACCAGCTTCTTCTACTTTGTAAACATGTACAACCCATCCATATCCTACCGCACCATCTTTTTTGAACTTCACACATGCATTAGGACTCATCTTGCTAAAGTACAACCCAGATGGTGATTTATAAGACCCCATGTCAGCTGCCCAGCGGGTCAGGACTTTTGTGTTTGGCTGATGAGGTGCTGTGTTACGATAGTCCTTCATTTTGGGGAAAGTCTTTTGAACTTCAGCTAGAACTGCATTGTAAACGTTCAGATCAATTATGCCTTTGTGCGGGTGTTGCTTGGAATGATTCTGATCAAGTTTTTCTTGGATAATGGCTGAAAATGGCTCTTGCACTTTCATTCTTTGGGTTTGGCAAAACTTCCGCATGACAATGTCTTCAATCTGTCCTGTAGTTCAAATTCAACCCTATCAGCTTAAAAAATGGAAATGGGACTTGAAATGAAAGCTTACCCAACTGTCCATTTGTTTCAAATGACTGTAAAACTCCATTGATACACTCACAAGAAAGCTCGGCAATTGCCATGAGTGGCCCCCACCAGTTCATCTGCTGAGGAAGATGTAATGCGTAATGATGATTGGGATTGATGTGAATGTTTGAGAACAATAATTTTGAAGATTTAGTGTACACTTCATATGATTCCTGGAATTTTTGACCATCTTGCTTGGATACTGATTTCTGAGTAACAATATTTGTGCACTGCACAAGAGCTGAAAAGTTGAGAAGAGTAAGCCATAGATGATTTTCAGAGTACTCTTGTTCGCAATCCTCCACAAGGAAATCAGGTGGTTCCAATGGTAAGAAAATGGCAAACAATGTATGCCACTTGCTTGCTTTAACTTTCCATGACTTGCTTCACCTAGGTTTGAGGGAACACGGGTGATTCCTTGCGGAACAACAACTTCATCAACTTTGAGTCATATGTGGTTCAGCATTTGCTTTTTCAGCTCAGGCAATTCACCTCCTTGAAAGCTTTTGTCTTCATCTTTATTCTCTTCTGAGATGTCGGAAATTTCAGAGTCATCAGAATTTGCATTATCTTTAGCCTTGCAGGCCTTTTTATGGTATTCCCACCTCTCATCCCAATGGTGCTTGAGAACTCCTTCCAGCCAGTTGTGCATGACCCCCAATGACACACTCTTGATTGGGGGTTGATAAGCGCACGCCAACCCCCATGGCGCACACCAATCTGCACGCCATTGCAGAATGGCGTGCAGGCAGGCACGCCACTCGCCTTCAGGGGGTATACCCTGCAGGTTGGCGTGCCTGCACTGCACGCCCAATATG